AGTTATAAGAAAATAGAATAAAGTGTTGTATGAAGATTTTACTAAGTTTATTAGTCAGAATTTTGGTATAGGTTTTGTGGGTATGTTTGATAAGACTAATTGGTCAGGTAAGGTTGAGATTGCTAGCAAATGTGTTATTTTTAGAAATAGAGAAGATTTTTCCTTTTTTCTATTACTTTGAAATATAGTTGTTAGTTAGACAGCGATTGAAGAGAGCAGTTAGAGAAGAAATATAGGAGTGATTAAGATGCTTTAATATTTTATAACTAATGCCAGTAGAGCTACAGGCCTTGTTATTAGAGAGTTGGGAGATAGGTTGAAGAGTTTTATCAAGAGTAATAGGTTTGGTAAATGAAATATACTAGTTCAGGTTAATATGAGGAATATAAAGATAGTGTTGCTTCTAGAAATTGTCAAAAAGTAGTTAATTGATTAGTTTGTGGGCTGTTCAATTAAAGAAGTAAAATTGTATGTATTGTTTTATTTAAGTGAGATCAGTGACTAGTTAGTTTGGTAATTTAATTTTAGAGAAGTGAATAGGAGATTGGTAGTAGTCCAGGATACTGTTTATGGCTTGTTTGGGCTTAGTAACTAATATTTTACACCTTTTCTTTGAAGCCTTATTGATTTGATATTAAAGGCAAAGAGAGTGTTCAAGATAATAAACCTGAGATATTTGTTTCCAAATATTATAAGCCTGTTGTAGCTATGTTTAAATAGAGATGTGATCAAGAGAAGTAAGAAATTGGAGGTTGTAGTTTGCATATGTATTGATAATTAGAATATTGGAATTAAGTATAAGTTAGATAAATTGGAGTTGTTGTTGATAGTTTTAATTAAATGACCTAGTTTTTTAAAACCAATGTAAAGTATGATGGTTGTAGGCTATATTTGTGATTGTAATTATATTTGTGTATTATTCTATTGAGAATTGTTTAAATAGCAACTGGTAGAATGCAGTATTGTATTTTATGCCAAGTTGTATTAATACTTTCAGATGTATGAATATGTGAGGGAACATGTTGTTATGAGAAGAGCTGATGAGTAAGGTTAGAGAATTGGGTCCATTGATTAGCAGTGATTGATTTATAATTATAGATTCTATAGCTAATATTAGTATAAAGGCAAGAAGGTTTATTAAAAGTATAAGAAAATATCCAAGAAAAGGAGAGAATTAAGTCATTACTGAGGATACTAGTTTTGCTATTGTTAAGGTTAAAGTTAAGAAGAAATTGTAGATTAAATGAATCAGTTCAAATATAGTCTATTTAACTAGAACTAGTATTGTTAGACCAAGTGTAATAGGTATTGTTGAGATATGCACCAATATCAAACAAGTTTGAGTAATGAAAAAAGTTGATAAGTTTGAATTTTGTTGAAGAACTGCTAATATTATTATGTGTGTTAAAGTTGCCAAGTATAATAGGATGCAGGTTTTGTTGTTTAGCTTAAAGAATCTAGTTGATAATAGTGTTTTGAGTAAGGTTGTATTTAGAAGAGTTGGTAAAAGAAAGGTATACAAAAATTATATATAGTTTAATATTGCTTTTAAAAAAGAGATCTAATCTAAAAGTATCTCCAAGATGTGTATAACAACTATATATATGTGGTTTAAGATGATTTTGAATTATAATAGCCATTTCTTCAAAAGAGCTTTCAGAGTTGAACTAATAATAGATATAAAGGTTGTTATTGCAAAAGAAAGTTTGGCTTTGTGAAAAATTTTAGTTTCAGTAATATCAGAGATATTATAATTACTACAATAGTTTTGCCATAATTGTTTTTTAGAAGCTGTATTAAAGCCTCTAACATTATGGGTTGTTATAGCAAGATTAAAGTAATTAGAGAAAGGTAGTAAAGTTAAAGTAGATATGTAATTAGAAGTATATAAAGGGCTAGATAGAAGAAATAGATTGTTTGATAAAGAGAGTTGAGAAAAGGAATGAGAATATTGTGTATTGCTATGTAAGTTGTTTAAAAGTTGTTTTGATTTAAAAGGAATATAGCAAAACTAGTAGAATAGAGAAAAGAAGTGCAACTCTCATTAATATAGCTATTATCTTATTAAAAGATATAACCAAAGCAGTTGATAAGGAGAATAATATAAGGTGGATAAGTCTAATTATCTGGAAGATTTAGATAATGATGGCTTTCTAACATTTAACCTGAGAGCTTCTAAATCTTGCAGAGCCATACAAGCCAGGCATATAGTAACCGCTACAGAAAATATTTCCCATATAGTTTTATCCTCAATATCACTAGCCTCCTATAATTTACAGATAATATTACCTTCATCAAATTCAACCAATCAGCTCTATACAAACTTAAACCCTGACAATGAACTACTTTCAAACTCTAACTCAGATGATAACTTACAATATAGCCATAACAATCTACAACTTGAAACTATTACACAAATAACTGAGGATTTAGGCTTTATAAACTCTCTTATATGTAATAACAAATTTTTTTTTTACTACAGATTACCTCTACTAGAACATCCACAAACTATCATCACTTTTTTTCAATATATTAGACATGATTTTCACTCATACTACTTATCAGATCTTATAAAAATTTCAATACTCAATGACAAGGACCATAATAATAACTATACCAAGACACACATCTATCTCCCACATGAGCTTTATCCACTTCCTAATCACTTTATACCATCTTTTCCTTCTTTATTTCACTGGTTTAGATATGTTTCTTTGAAATCAAAACAATCTTCTTCTTCAATATTACTATCTAATCCAACCTATTATTCTCTCAACCTTTCTGTCTATACTCACAATATTCATAGTTTCAACTAAAAACTTAAACAACAAGTTTAGGAAGATCATTGTCTAACTAACAATCTAGATATTATTAGCTTAACTAAAACCAAACTTGCATATAATTCATTCTACTCCAAACCATTAGCAACCTCTCTTATATCTTAATTAGTAGAAATTTGCAGGCAAATTTGGCTGCATAATTATTATAAATATGTTTATGATCTACTTTTTTAATTATTTAAAATATTTAAATAAAATTTAATATAATAATATTTGAAAATAAGGATTATATTTTTGTAGTATTTGTATTTATATTATAAGACAAAATTTTAAGATTGCTTATAAGCTAAAAATAGATAATTTTAAAAAAATTTTTTAACTAAAAAATTATTTTACAATTTCTTGGCAAACTCTTTAAATATCAGTTTTAAAAATATAGTTTCTAATGCAATATTATAGTTTAAACAAAGAATGCCAACTTTTAATATTATATTTTTAGTAATTTACTTATAAAAATCATGACTTGGCTTAGAAGCAAAAATTTATATATAGGCAAAAAATATATGAAATTTAAGAAAATTTAAAGAAAAAATTTTATAGTAAAAATTTTAATACAAGAACTTCAGACTTTTATTATACTAAAGTTTTTTAATAATTTTAAAAAATTTTCTTAACAAAGTTACTAAAATAAATTTAAAATTAAATATTTTATTTAAAAAATATATAGCTAAAATCAATATTTAAAATATTATTAGAAAAATTTAAAATTTAAAAAAAGTTGCAGGCAAATTTGGCTACAAAACAATTTAAGAGATATGTTTAATATATATATATATATCTTATATAGTATATAATTTTTTTTGTTATTTAATATATTAGTATCTGTTAACTTTAATATATTAGTATCTGTTAACTTTAATATATAATTTTATATTTTAGCATAAAAATATATAAAGCCAAAAGTATTCAAGAATTCTTGTATTCTTTTTGCAAAGTAATTTAAAATTTGCTTTTTTTCATTTATTAATTAATAAATAATTACAGGTAATTTCTGTCTATATATTTAATATTTATTGTGTCTTAATAGTAGCAAATAAATTTTACTTACTATTATATAGCAACAGCATTTAAGTCAAGCCTTATATTATAAAAGGTTTTCAAAATAGCAAATATAGATATTATTTTATACTGTAGTTAATTAACTTATCTCTAAATACTAAAATTAACACATTTTTATGTAACAGAGCAAGAATTAGTAGAATTAGTTTTTATACACATTCAAATAACATAGTGTGCTTTACTTAATTGGATAATTGATACAAAATATTACACAATATATTTTATATAATAGTATAATATTTTACATTTACAAAAATAGTTTGATAGTCATAAAGACAAATTGGCCAAATTTGATACCAAATAAAAGCAAAAAAGCATCTTCTGGTCTATATACTGTCAAAGTAATTTGGTAATCTGTAAAGTAATTTGGAAGTTAGATAAAAAGTATATTTGGATATTTAAAATTAGCCTATAATAATTTAAGCTATTTTTTGTTTGTAAAAACTTATTTTTATGATCTTAACTAATAAAGAAACCTGTCTATAATATAGGCTAATAATATGAAGCTAAGTGCCATAAAGATAATAGATCATAAAAAAAGTTTAAAAAAAATACTATAGCAATACTTAATCTTTTAATGATTGTTAAATAGAATTAATTAGTTTGATATTAGAGCAAATATTATAAGTTATTTTTGGCATTTTTTTTTATTGTTTATTAGCATTATAGGATAAATTTAATCATTAGTCTTTTGTATTTTTTATTTTTTGTTTCTTTTCTTTCTTTGATTTGTAATATATTGAAATTTTTTAATAAAATTTTAGTTTATTGAAGTTTTTCTAATTTTGTCCAGTTTTGTTTGTGATAAGATTATAATTTTAGGTTTAAATTATCGAGATTTTATGGTAAAGACTTCTGCTAGTATTAACTTGATTATAGATATAATTATTTTCTACATATTAATTTTTTTATTCTTGATTCGATATTTTTATTAATCTTCGATCAACCAATAAAATTTCTATAATATCACGAGATGATCTACAAAAATTGGCCAATCACTATGAAAGCCCGCTAAATACGTATAAATCCGAGACGCGTTGATAATCAGATGCATAAATACTGAACGTATCCTCTTTTTTCTTTTTTTTAAAAACACTTACTATGAATTTGTGGAATGTTTATTTTGACGTTACTCCTGTCAAAGATTGGTCTACTTTACAGTTTCATAAACATTGGATCGAGACTCACAAAAACGATTCTGAACAATTAACTTATGGCAAGGCTATGGACGCGTTTCTTAAAAGTCTACGTGCGATAATCAACCGAAGCTCAGACCTCCTAAAACTCTGGAAAGCTAACGAACTTTTAGTCAGTTGTCAGGCAAGTACTATATTTCTGTAGGGAATGCCCTCCGCAGTGAACTTTTAGTTGACTGTGGCTGTCCACAGCAAGGAAGACATGACTTTTAGTCATCCTTCTGATGATTTTTTAGATCGTTGTGGTGTTGGCATCCATAACAAAGAAGACACAACTTTTAGTTGTCCTTCTGATGATCTTTTAGATCGTTATGGTTGATAACATTTATAGTATTTTTTTTAGTATACGCTAAAAGCATTTTAAATATGTTAATCACATTTTATTTTCTTGTGTCAAGAACCAAAATTCAACGCAAGTCGGGGAAGCAACATGGATCGTTTATTATAATTATATTGGACAATTTTGAAATTATATAGCACCTAATAATTTCTCTGATCCCTCCCTTAAAAAATCAGGTGATAAATGTCTCTACCCTAACCATATATCAGTAAAACCTCCGATACTTTTTCTCTTCGATCAGAATCATTTATTTATTTTAATGCTTTTTGCCGCACGCTCTGCTAAGTTTCTAACATAATTATATTCATCCAAAGTATTATCAACAATCGTCAGATAAACAGAACAAATAGCATCTAATGATTTTTCTAATAAAAATGTAGAAAATTGGTTTGGCATGTTAAAAAAGTTATGAGAGCTTTAGGGTTAAAAATTTACGAATTTTATTATGAGGTTAAAAAAGTTTCAAGAGTTTAAGATAAAGCAGAATATACAAAATCAATTTCATATTCTGCCTTTTTATGAAATTTCCACTTTTTTTTCTCACGTCAGAAGTTTCCTATGAGAGAAGTTGATGCACTCTATTTACATATTACTTATTTCTGTTATTTCTATAATTCACAAATAAAACAGGACACATATTAAATACGAGGTGGAAATTTTCATTCAGAAAGAGTACTACAATGTATGCATGTACATTCAACTATTTGATCTGGAAAAAAACTTGATGATAATGCACTAGCTGCTAGCCTCATGTTATAAAATTATATACAAAGTTAATCATGATACATATTCACGTTATTAAAGATACCGATATTTTACAGGACATTCAATTTTATGCAAAATGAGAATATGAGCAAAATTAAAACCGTTTGAGTAATATTTTGAGCTGTTCTTCATAACTTAAAGATTTACAATATTTATGTTCATCCTAATAATTCATCGAAGGATTAGTGATAATCAAGATAATGCGTAACTTTATCGGAAATAATGTTTGGGTAAAATTCACAAATGATCTAAAAACAGTTTCACCCAAAATACTAGTCAGAGTATTTTATATATGTTACCTCTTTTACTCCGGTATAGCATCGTACCATGGGCTCACCTAAAGCGTCGATTAGTGTTTTATCTTCCTTTAATGCCTTCAATGTATCCAATAGACTTGCAGGCATTCTCTCAGTAACACCTTTTTCTATACGTTCTTCATTGCTTAGAGAAGCAGGATTGTCTGTTATTGAATTTTATAAAAAAACTTCATATTATTACAATATATGGTATATATAATACTTAATTATATAATTAACCTATTTTTTCGTTTACCGAATATGGGATTAGTAGTAAGCTGCATTCCTTTCTTGATTCCATCGACTCCTGAAGCAATAAGGGCAGAAAAGGCCAAGTACGGGTTGGAAGTACCGTCTACAAATTTGTATTCAAAATGAACATCAAGATACTTTCCATTAGGACCAGTCTTTGGTCTATAACATACTCTGATTGGCGTTTCACTGCCATAAATTAATATTGAAGGAATTATTATACAGTTTGAAACATTATTTATATAAAAAAAAATGCATGAATACTAACCGATTCTCAATACTCCAACAGATCCAAGTTCCAGCCCAGCAGTTATCAACAATGCGCGCATAAGAGAGGTCTGTCGGCAAAGCAAAAGCACAAATTGCCCTTATGTGATGCAGCATACCAGCAATAAATGACCTCTCATAGGGAGACAGTCCTGAAGGGTGATCGTCAGCAATTTTCTGGGACTTGCCGATTTCTTTGAAAGATAAATGCACGTGTGCACTAGTTCCCACTTAATTAATGTTCATAACAAAATTTTACGTAAATACTAGCTTAAAGAATTTCAAAAGTATGTAAACTTATTTATTAATTAAAAAAACAAAATACAAACCTTGTTCCTTAAAGAGTTTAGGTACAAACGTTGCTTTTACACCAGCTTGAGCAGCAACTTCATATATTGTTTGACGTGTTACAACAACTTTGTCTGCTGCAATCAATGGACTTTCTGGTGCGGTGACGATTTCAAATTTGCCTAGTCCATCAGAACGAAATTGTTCGACTTCGATACCTTGTTCTTGCAAAGATTCAACCATTCTATCCAGGATTTCAGATGAATTAGAGATATGAAAAGAACTAGCCACCGCATAAACTGTATCATCAACGGGCACCGGAAGTATGGTATCTTTAAGTAAGACGAACTCAAATTCGGTTCCAATCAAAAAAGTGATACCAAGATCCTTACGGGCAGATTCAATAATATTTTTAAGACAAGTTCTAGGGCAAAGTGGGAAAGCCAAAGAATCAGGTGAATTATCAATCTTTCCAAATTGAGGGTCTGCCGGTGTCAATTTATTTTCAAAGAAAACCTGGACATTTGCGTGTTTAGGATTATAAGGTAAATGTATGAGTGTACTAAGGTCAGGCTTCAACAATAATTCTCCAACTTCGTTGACACCAACATTTTCTGGAAGTACATCTCCATAATAAGGGAAAGCTGTGTTTGCCCGCATATTTGTCAGCCCACTGTTAATAATATAGTTTTGGAAACGATCAATAGGAACTATATGAAATCTATATTGATTAGCACATTCCATAAAGCCGATACGAACAAATTTCACACCCATTTTTTTTAATTTGACAATTCTTCGTTCTCCTGAAACATCTTTATATTCTTTAAACAGTAATAAAAATTGTATCATTAACATTAACTGTTAAAAGGCAAATGAAACAATGAAGGCTATTTCCTCTTTGAAAATACCTTCACTATCGATCTGTTTTGGTATTAATTTGAGTTTATATAGTTTATTGGAATTCTCGAACATAATCTCTTTGGCGATTTTTATTGTTTCTTCATATGAAAATTCGCCATTTTCTACAGATTCTAATAAAACCTTAAAAATGACCATTGTTAGTCTTAAAATAATACCATTATCAAATGGGAATACTATAAATTATATTACTTTGCTTAAAACCTCTCTTCCCTGAATTGCAGCGACATAGAAGGTTTCTGGATGATAATGACCATCTAATTTTTTAGAGTATATAATCAATTCTGGATATGACAAGCCTTTTCATAATAACTCACTCTTTAACGAACCTTTTTTTTAATAAAATTTTTATAGAGTTGGTATAAAAAAAATAGTAAAATTTCTTTACTATAAGAACAGCCAGTTCGTTGTAAAGAGTGTTTATTTTATTAAAAAGATGACTATTATAAGTACCTGTACTAAATAATATTTTATTACTTGGACAAGTCTCCAACTATTCAAAAATGAAAACACTTGTTATATGATAGATTTACTGTATAAAAGACTTTAATATGAAATATGTATAAATTACCAGCTCACGTAAACTGGCTTGCTGGCCAGATGCGGAAATTAAAGGAAAAACAAGACCTATATCAACATACACATTGGAATATATTGAAGCAAGATATCCCGACTGGCGGGTGTAAGGATACGCCGCATGCAAAAGAACAAACTTTGCATTTGGATATTTTTCAATCAAAGGTCTTAAAGGAAAGGATACATAGAATAATCGTAAGAATATATGTAATTGCTGATTCGAAAACGGTTGAATAAATCTAAGGCATAAAATGTTCATACCGTAGCAAAAGTGGATTAGATGTAATCAGATCAAGGTCAGAATCACCAAATCCTAAATCAATATAGTAAGATATTTATATATCTTTAATAATCGATAAGGTTCTGTTTAAAGACAAACATACAATATTTCTACAGCGTGCCTGTATGAAATTGAATAGGAATATCGTGCTGGACAGCGATGTTGATTGCCAAGTTCAATATGTGATCAATTAGAACTTTATTAATAAACCTAACAGATCCTTTCTTATCAGGTAATGACTCAAAATCCGAAATAAAGTTTCCGAATGCAACTGCAGTGGCTTCGGGATTTGGAACACAATCGATATTCAATCCTGACCTATAAGCAGCAATACTTTTGAAGGCCGCCACCGATTCAGATTTTGCATAGATTTCAAATTGCTTTTTCAATGATTCTTCGAATGCTGAAAATTTTAATACTTTTTGGTTTGTACAAGCTACGGATGTTGCTAAATCATACAATATCTTTTCTGCAATACTTTCGATTCTCACGATTCTTCGCACTACATCAACCAATTCTACATGACTTTGCATATCCATAAGGCCACCTAAAGCGTCAAGCCCATCATCCAAAAGTAAGGACTGTATGCCAGTAGATTTAAAGCAAGATTTACATAGATCAATATATGACATTAGATCCCTCACTTGCTTGATATTGTCTAAGGTTGGTGGACAATTATAAAATTCAGCAAGCTGACGTATACATCGTTTCAAAGCAATAGCTTGAGGTGCATTTTTTAACGCATCAACGCAAGCTTTCGAAAAGCATATTTCCAATGGACAGGTCAACGATGCATTAGAAGTTGAAAGATTATGACAGTGATTGTCAATTAAAGGGAAAGTAGACACTATTCTGAGTAAAGCTTCACGATCATATACAACATTGGCCATTATTCAGGTTAAATTGTAAGTTCTGTAATGATATAGGTAAATTACGAAAAAAAAGGTTGTGTTTTCGTTCAAATGCAATACTCTTGACTTCCCACCTAATGTAAGAACAATTTATATTCCTGAAAAAGCAATCAAAAAATTATAATCGTTAAATGAAGCATGAAGCTTTAAAAGCAATTAGTTTTTAATAATTCTGTATAACCTTTAGGTTTTATCATTATCGTATGATCAAAGATTTCACTAAATAAGGAAAGGATTTTCGTGAAAAAAATGAGTAGCCATGGCAAAAAAGTTCGGCTCATGTGACGATCTGCAGTAAATTAGCCAATAACGATTTCCAATTTAATGTAACACGATCAAACCGCTTATTTCTCGAAGAAACGTACTAACAAAAAATGTCGGGGAGGTAGGGTTGGAGGGGCTTTACTTATTTGTGCCGGTAATACAAACCCTAAAAAGGAAACGGCCAATCAGAGAACACAAATTTTGGTTATTCCGGATCAGCCCGGCATAGAATCCGGATCATCCCGACGAAGCAAAACAAACGAAAAAAAGAGAAAAATAAAGAAAATACAAGAAACGGTAATCTAAATCTACTTTTGTGCATTAACAAAAAATGTCGGGGAGGTAATTTTACCTATAGCACTCTCTAACCCTAACTCTAATATTTAATAAATGTTAAATTTACTCCGTTTCCTTTTTTGGTTTGTATTACCAGCACAAATAAGTAAAGCCGGGTTGGAGGCATGCCCTGCCTTTTAACCAAAAGGCATGCCCCTATCATGTGATCTATAGCTAACGTATGATTGGCTATTTTAGCGATTAACCAATCAGAATACAAATATCTTATTATAGTATATACTTTTATTTAGATTCGTATTATTTCATCAACAATTATTTACTAACAAGTTTATTTTACCAGCAGTTTAGTTATTTCACCAACAAGTTTTTTTTATAACCCTAATAATATTGGCCAGAATTACTTTGTTTGTAAAATGAGCTTTAATAAAATAAACTATTAGTGAAATAAACTTGTTGGTAATTATTAGTGAGTTGATCAAATCCTCTTTCACATCTAGAAGGGCATGCCTGAAACATAGAAAGCCATGCCCTTTGTAAAGACATGCCTTTTGAGGCATGCCCAAAAATTTGCCATGCTTTCAACCCTACAAGGAGGTAATCTTACCTATAGTACTTTTTAATCCTAACTCCAATCTAAAATTTTTATTAGTTACTATATGGTCTAACTTTTTTTGCCATGACTAGGGTATTTAAAAAAATATTGCATATTTAAAATGTGTGTTAGATTTGTAGCACAGCAAAAATTAGAGAATAGAAAAAGAGTATTTAAATAGTAAAATTGTCTAATGAAAACTTTTTGTTAAAACATTAAAGATAATTTCTTATACAGATTTTTGAGAAATAAATTTGTTAAAATAAATACATAGTTTGAATTTTTCTATTTGTATTACATTACACATGATTATGAAATCTGATTCATAGTTAAAGCAATATATGCTACAGTTGTGCTACAAATATAATACATATTTCAAACAAATAAAATATTAATATACAGTATATATTATATATATCAATATACTTTATATATTATAACTTAAATAAAAATTTCTCTAATTGTTAATTAGAATATATAACAATTTTAGCTTAGATGCAAATTAAATAATAATAAAAAAACATATCTAGATTTTACTAAGTTTATATCATTTTGTAAAAATTTATTTTACAGGTTTTATAGACAATTAATTTATAGACAAGTTTATTTTAAAAAACAATTAATTTACAAACAGTTTATTTTATAGACAGTTCATTTTATAAATATTTTATTTTGTAGACAATTTTTAATAGCAAATAACTTTTGAATTAGTATTAAAGATTGTCTGCAAAATAAAATATCTATAAAATAAACTGCTTATAAAATAAACTATTTGTAAATTAATTGTCTTTAAAATAAACTTGTTTATGAACTGATTCTATAAAAAAGATATTTGTAAAATAAATTTATATGAAATAATATAAATCTAATTTAACTGAATAAGAAAAAAATTTTATAAAAAAAATATTAATATCAATATATATATATTGTAATCCAGTAAAAATCTGTCTAATTATCAATTAAACTAGCTAACTTAGATAGCAATTTTAATTTGGAATAATAATTTTAGCTTAAATACAAATTAGATAATAAAAAAAAATATCTAACAGGTTTTCTTTTGTATTATATAATACAAGCCAATTGAAATATAATTTATAATAAAGATAATAACAGATATTATCTAATATTGATTTGCTATAAGCATCTACTCTTACTAGTGTTTCAAATTGAAAATTGATTAATTAATTAATTAATTGAATTGGCAACTAATTAATTAATAATTTTATTAGACAACTAATTGATTGTCAATGATTAGTTGATTAGTTAACTAATTGACTAGTTGTTTTATATAATATTATATATTGATCTTGTAATTAATATCTATACAATTATAACCAAGCTATTTTGATTTACCAACTAGTTGATTAGTTAATTAATTGATTAATTAACTAATCGATTAATCGATTAGTTGATTATAATTAATTTTTAATTAATTTTTTAAAATTTTTTAATCAACTAATCAATTGTATTTTTTGGTTTGATTTATAATACTAACCTCTAAATCTCTATATAAGATAAAAAAACAACTAATAAAAATCAAATCCCAAATAAGCAATTTAATTGGCTAATAATATGCTGGTCATATAATAAAAAGCCTAGTCCAGTTTGGTCTGAATTGATTTCTAAGCTTTTATAAAAATTTGGTTTTAATATCACTACTTAATATTATCATGTTTAATTAATATAATAACAAAGTCAATTCTAACAGGTATGTGATTGTTGAACTTATATAGCAAATAGCTTTCATTTTATTTTAAAACAAGAAATTTTTTGTACATATACTCTTGAATTAAGTTAAAAAAAAATCACATAATTTTAGACTTTATATATTGTATTTTTTTTTCTTAAAGAAATTTTTTCTTAAAAATTTTTTTTTTTATACAAGAATTGATATTAAAATGAGTAAACAATTTAATATTAGTTCTTACTATGAAAGAGAATAGAAATATTCAAATCACAAGTTAAAAAAAAAGCTATCAAAAATTATAATTTTAGTGAACAAAATGAAGGTGGCACTTCTAATAGACAAAATAATAACTTCTGCAATTAGCAAAGCATAGATACTAATAAAGATGAAAAAAGGTCATTTTGCTAAACTCTTTTTTAACTCCAAAATATAATAAAAATCTGATTTATAGTTCATTAGCAAATAAATATTAGAAGTTTTTAAATGCCTATATATATAGCATCATGGTAAAGACAGAAAATAATACTTCTAATTATGCTTATATTTGCTATAAAATAACACAAGAATAGAACAAAATTAAAACTAAAAATGTAAAAGAAATTAACAATCTAATTAAAAACTATTTAACCACACTATTTAATCTATATAATATACAAATAATAAAAAATATTTTGTGTCTAAAGAAAGCTCAACACCTTTTTTTTTTACTATTAATTTAGTAGAACCTATATCTAAAATCTCAGTAAATACAGCAGTACAAAAAAGTATAGCAAATAAAATCAAAATAGCTAAAAAAACTCTTAAACTTAAGCAAATATAAAACATTATAACAGACCCTTAGTTTTGATATAAAATATATAAAAAAATAGAAGAGCTTCAAACACAAGTAAAAGCTAATAAAAATAGAATTTTCAAATTAAAAAAAAATACAAAATATATACAAAACTGTAAAGAAAAGAAACAAAAAATACTTATTAAAATTAAAAAGTAATTAAATATAATTGGTTAGATTATTTATCACTTCTTTTTAAATATTCACACCTGTTGACTATATTTAAAAATAGTTAACAATAGATTAGCTAATGAAAAATAGCAAAAAGAAATAGTTAAAGTGAGAATAATAGAAAACTTATATAAAAATTTTGAAGAAAATTATAGTGTTTATATAGCATAAACAATATTAAATAATTACTTATTACTTTGCTAGCCAATTTTATTGCTATACAGGCATACTATCACCCAGCATAAGTCTCTATTACTAATGTTTTACGTACTAAAACATATACTATTATTTTGTGTCTATCAAATATGCAAAACAATTTGTATCTTTTTTTGCTGATATATTAATAATCATCTCTCAAAATGATAAAGCAAAGATAGGTCTTGGTATGCACAGATAAAATAAAGTTTAATAGAGAACCCTATTGCCACCTATTTATAGCACCAAAAGAGGTTAATAGGGTATCAATTAAAGCAATAATACTTAATAGAGAACCAATAAGATACTAATTAGATATCAATCAGGTATTAATAGGGTCAATAAGATTTTTACTAATTGTAAACTATTTAGTTAATAGTTACCAATTGAGGCCAATAGAGTACCAATCAGTTTCAATAGAGTTTAATAGGGTTTCTAAGAGTTCATATTATTTCCTCAATATTTTTTTTCTTAACATTCATTTTTCCAACCCTATTTTTCTAACAATCCTTTTCCTGATACTTTCATTTCTCCAACATTTACTTCCTTGACATTTTCATTTTCCTAATATTCCCTTTCTTGATGCTTTTATTTCACTGACAAATCATTTTTCTGACACTTTTATTTTCCCAACACTTTTCTTTCTTCAACACTTTCCTTTTCTTGATACTTTCATTTCTCTAACACTTTTATTTCCTGACACTTTCATTTCCTTGACATCTTTATTTTCCTGACACTTTTATTTGCTTTCTCAACCCCATTTCTCCAACAATTACTTTCCCAACACAATTATTTCCTTGTTATAATTTTTTTTTACAAATCTCTTTCCCAGCAATCACTTCCTGACCAATCCTTTTCCAGTATGATTGTTTTCTCAACAAACCCTTCTCCTAACAAAATTACCAACCAGACATTCTCTTTCTCGAATTTCCAGTATTACG